TTTGTAGATGTGAAAATAGAGGTGGAGAGATCCAGGTGATCACTTGTCTGAAGACACAGCTGGAAGATGCAGACGGGACTGGAGCTTGCACAATCTGACTCTGGAGCCTTGCTTGTAATTATGGTGCCGAACTGCCTAATACAGTTTCCCTGGGAATAAAGTGAACCAAAGCACTTAACTGTACTTGGCATGTTTTGAGAATGTCATAACTGATAATTATTAAAACAAGGGCTGAGTGGCATCCAAATTCCAAATCATATGAAACCCGAGGTTAAAGTAGATTATGTGGTATCGCAGAAGGCCAAGTGTACAGTGCAGGCATGCTCACTCTCAGAGAATATGTAAATACAAAGAAAAGTTCTCAAAGGTCACAGACTCCCTAGGGCATCAGACATCACCAACGCAGTGGCTATCTCTCACGGCATGGGAATAGAGTAGAGCAGGCATGCAAGGAAGATCAGGAAAAAAACCACAGCCCTCTCACCAGAGCTCCCAAAACCTCCAGGTGCTCCTCACCCCTCACTGCCTGGGCTGCAACGCTATGATGAGGGAGGTGAGTGAACCCTGGGATCCTCCAGGGCTGCCCAGCCACGTCAGCCTAGCGTCCTGACACTCAGGCCAGGCCAGTGTGCCTCAAGGGGAGAGAACAGAAAGTCTAATGTGCCACAAGACCCACTCTTACAGAACATCAGTTTTGCACAACGACAGACACTTGTTTGGTCTGGAGATGGTCTAGACTGTGGCTCCCAAGCGTTCATGGGTTGCAAGCTTACTCCCTGGTGTGGTGACTGATGTGGAGAGGTGGCGGGCTTCAGGAGCCGGATCCTAGGGGCACTGCCCTCAGAAGGGATGTATGCTGCTTTTGTGAAGTGAGTTGGTCTTCAAGACTGCTCCTACCTGCTCCGGTTCTTGTCTTCCCATGTGACTGCTCTCTCCCACCACACGGTGTAGCCAAAGGGACCTTCAGCAGAGGCCAATCAATGGGATCACCCATTCTTGGACTTCTAACATTCAAAATTTTGAGCCAAAGAAACCTTTATTCCTATATTCTCCCAGCTGTGGCTACTCTATTGTTATAGCAATGGAAACACATTAACAGGGTCATGGTAGCATCATTTATTCATCCCTCTATCACCCCTGTCTCCTTCCCATTGAAGTACAGGACCTGGTCTCTATTGTTTCCCATCCTGTTTCTGCTAAGAATTGTAAGTGGTCCAATGTTAAGGTACTCAAATGTTAGTTGACTGTGCTACAGGAAAATGGCATAAAGATAAAGACAAATACACTAGGGATCAGAATAAAGAGCTGGCATATATTTTAAGATAGAATGCAGATCTTTAAAGAAACTTTCAAAATGTGTTAAGGGCTTCAAACTCCATCTCAAGAGATTAATATCTAGAGTTCAAGTTCACACACTTAATCTAGAGCATACATTAGTGGAAAAGTTTCAAAAGCCTGGAACACACTGTACCATGTGTTTATCCCTCCTATTATTTCCTTCTTTCATGCTGCTCTTCATCGCTCTATAATTATGAGTCAGAATTGAGGAAAATATGGCCAGTGTTAGGGAAAAGATTTTGCATGCCTCAGCATACACACAGTACCAGACTTGCTTCAACATTAGGTCTGCATTGCTGGGTTTTTTGGTTTTGTTTGGACGTGGTGTATTTTTCATTGTATTTCATTTTTTTAAGAAAGAAAGGGACAGAGACAGAGAAAGATCTTCCATTTGCTGTTTCACTCCTCAAATGCTGAGTCAGGCTTGTGCTGGGAGCCGAGAACTCCATCTCTCATGTTGCTGGCAGTGATGCAAGTTCTTGGGCTATCACCTGCTGCCTCTGTAGGTACTCAGGAAGAGAAAGCAGGACGGGAAGTAGAGGTAGTATGGGCAGGTACTTGGATATGCGATGCAGTCATTCTGAACTGTATTTTAATTGCTGTGCCAAATGCTCATGCCTACATGGCTGGTTGATGAGCTGTCTAGGAACATTCCCTGAATGTTATTTCCCTGGCATTTTAAAAAAAACTTATTGACCCCACAGTAGCACTGGCCATGGGAGGTGGATGGCTCATGGGATCCTGGGAGTGCAGGTTAGCAGGGGTTTAGGGGGATAGCGTTGGTAGGGGTGTGTGGGGACCTGGGGGCACACGTCTAGGCAGGAGGAGTGAGCCTGGGGTTTCCTCAGGTGCTTGGTCCCAGGCAGGGCAGGGGGCAGGAGGGCTGGAGAGGAGAGGAGAGCCATGGTTAGCATGCTGGCCTGGTGGGTTGGTGACCAGGCTTGGGGAACTGTGAATGGGCCTGTATCTTGGGTCTGTGGAGGAATACAGTCCCAGGACAGCACACGAGTCATGAGCCCAAAGGCTGCACTGGGGAACCCATGCACTCCTGGGCACAGGAACTGTGACTGATCCGGGAAAGGGCAGGGGGATGAGGGGAAGGAAGGACCACTGAGGGAGAGTACTGAAGATGAGGAATGACTTCTAAGGATGTCCCAGTGACAAGGCCACTGTGCTTGCGGGTAAGCGAGGGGGCAGAGACCAGGTAGTTTGGATAGGAGAGGCCAGTGGACTTTGATGGGTCAGACCAATGCACCAGCCCATGTGGAAGACCTGAGCTGGGTTACTTAGCATAACCACAGCTGATTACCGCTCATCGGTGCACATTAAAGCTAGGGATGGGGATGTGCCTGATGGGGCTAGATCACAGTACCCACCATTTGTATAACTAAATGCATATCATTTATATATGAGAACAGTTGAGTAGATAGCATGTGAATGAGAATATTTGGTGGAATATACAAAAGAGTCCCAAACAAAGGTATAGAAACAGTTGATGGGTTTTGTTGATAAGCTCAATACCTCCTTCCTTATCCCATATGACCTTCATGGTACAGGTGTATAAAGTCTGATGCCACTAAAAAAACTTCAGCTATTGACCCTCAGTCAGAGTTCACCAGTGTTATTATGGGCTCCATACACCAAGTCCATTGCTGCGACACTATGTATTCATCCTAGTTAAAAAAAAAAAAAAAAGCCCTTGCACCCATGTTGTGGCATAGTGCATTAAGCCGCCATCTATCATTCCAGCATTCCCTATGGATCCAATCCAGCTCCCTGATAATGTACCTGGGAAAGCAACAGCAGATGGTACAAGCTTTTGGGCCCCTACCACCCACATGGGAAACACGGAAGAAGCTCAGCACAACCCAGAAAAGTCTTGGCTTTCCGATAAAATTTTTTTTGTGGATAAGGCTACCGCCCTCCAGCCTTACCCCCCTTCACTGTGTTTCGTTTGTATGGCAGTTCTGCAAAGTAGAAAGGGAAGCATTTTATCTCGAATAAAGGAAGTGGCCAAGTCTTTGGATACCAGAGCAACCGCCTGACATCACACACTCTGGGCCAGATCTCAGGATTCCTGACCTCAGGTGCAGCAATGTTCAGCTGCAGGCCACAGCCGAAGCACACGTCACTCTCTGGTGACCTGCAAGACTGGCCCTAGGACAGTTCACACACCTTCACCCTTGGCGAGGGACTGTGCTTCCACTTTCAAACCAAGCAACAAAATAAAGAATTACATAACTATAAACAACACAGCTCCAGCTGAGTTCAGAACTGGAGAAGGGTGCGTGGATGAGGCATAAGAGGAAAGAAATGGACCACTTCGATTTCATGATCATAATGGACAATGCAGGAAAGCTGTCTGCTTTATTTATACAGAAGCAGTCAAACTCTGTCTCAGACTTTTTACATCAAGGTCAAATGGGTGTTTCTAAGGATAATTCTGCCATTTGTTTCACCTAATAACTCTAGAACTTCCTGCTACAATTCTTATTCTACAACTCAACGTTGTATCACAAAGAAAAGGAGAACCTAAAGATCAAGGAAAGAATGAAATCCTAAATATAGGTCCCATGATTAGCATAAGGTCAATGGGGACAACCAAGACAGTATGAATAATAAAAGGCCCTTTTGCAAGACATTGTTATATTATTGACATTAACCTCCAAGCTCACACTGAGTAAAAAAAGCCAACTCCACAGCAGCAAACAATGCCTGAATGGATTAGAGTTCTTCCGCAGGGTGGCCCAGTGTCCATGCAAAGGAAGGTGGAGTTGCATCCATTTGATTGTAGAGACATCCACTGGGCCCTGCCATGCACTGGGAAGTTCCTTGCGGCCCTGCCTGCAATGGAACAATACTCTTCACACTTTCCTGTCCCCCACATTCACTGCACGGACCCCAACACAGCTGTTTGATTTTCCTGGGTCTGACTCCATCAGAGTATTTAAATCTTACCTCTGACCAAACTAGGACTTCTGAGCTAACAAAACCGCATGCTAATTATTGCAAAGTTACACATGGGTTCTACTCTGTCGTGCAGATGCAGAATTACACACACTGTCTTTTGTGGTTATTGTTAACCTAAAACCAGCAGAATTCTGCCTTCTCCAGTTGAGTGGCAATGGGAAAACAGAGAGAGCGAGACCCTGCTTCTGTGGAGACAGACTGTGTGCTTTGTAAAATCTTCAGGACACCCCCAAAGGGGCTGAATGCCGTGCCACAAGAATAAATAAACTCCCACTCTTTCCCGTTGGGACGCCCGAGAGGCGGCCACAGACCCCGTGGGCACCTGGCTGGGGACCCAGCGTCCCTCCCTGTCTGTGGCTGGGAGACACAGCCGTCCAGTGTGCCCTGGGAAGGACGGCTCCCACCCACTGGCCCGTCTAACCTGACCACAGCACTGGAATGGAAGCCTCCGGGCCAGCTGTGGGCTCTGCAGCCTGTCCAGGAGGCGGAGGGTGTTCCCTGTGGGCAGGAGGCTCCGGGAGCTCAAAGCCAAGAGGGCATCGGAGGACAGACGCGCGGTCCCTGGGGAGGGGCGGAGGGCCGCGCGCATGCGCCCGGCTGTCGCCGCCTGCCGGAAGCGCGGGGCAAGCCCGGCGGCGGCTGCTCCGGCTCCACACACCGCGCCGGCCGTGGGAGAGTGCGGGCCGCGCGACATGCGGTCCCAGGACGGCGCCGGGGAGCCCGGCGAGGTGGCCGAACCCGGGCTGGCGCTGACTGTCGAGGCGGCCCCGGGCGCGGGCGAGGAGCCGGCGGCCGCGGAGGCTGAGGAGACGCCCGGCGGCGACGGCAGGTGCTGGCTGTGCCGTTCCTCGCCGTGCTGCTCGCGCGCGGAGCCGGGTGAGTACGCGCTGCAGACCCGCGTGGGTCTCCGCCTGCCTACCGTGTCCCCACTTCCCAGCCCTCCCGGGCGCTCGGGAAAACCAGCCACGAACTGTCTGTCTGTCCCCGGGTGGGCTGCCGAAGCAGAAGCCCCCGCGCGCCCCGCCGGCGCAGAGACCGGAGAAAGTTTTGTCAAGAGCTCTGTGGGAGGATTGGGAGGCGGCGGGCGCCCGGACGGGACCCAGGGGCCAGCGTGCAGCCCTGCGTGCTCTGCCCCGGGTCAGCGGGAGCGGCCGAGCGGGGGAGGCCGCTGACCGGGACCCCTGATGTGGGTGGATGGTGCATGGCGCTTCCTAAAGGGAAAGTGGGGAAGTCTGGAGTGCAGAGTCCTGGAAAGCCAGAGTGGGACCCTCCCTTGGTTCCTAACGTGTTTGGGATACGAGTTTTTAGCACCTGACACAGAAACTCGGCTTCCCTTTTCCCGGTTCCACCCTCTGTCCCCAGTGGGGAGCCCTTGAGTTTGCCCACCTTCCCCCACCCCCCTTTTTTACACTTGAGGAAAGTGAGGCTCAGGAAGGTGAGAGCTTTGGATTTTTTAGTTTCTTCCAGCATCTGGCTTGTGTGGGTGAGAGGGTAGGCAGGTGTGGGTAGCCCCAGGATTAGGATCTCAGCTTGCCAGAGACCTGCCCGCCCAAGCCCCTTCACCTGGCAGGCTGGCTCCCTGGAATGAAGAGGGATTCAGGCAGGTCTCCGCTTAGGGCAGCTGCTCTCTACCCCACCTCTACCGACAGTGACCTGGGGCCTCTCGCCCTTGCCTCATCCTTACGCTGCATAAATCCCCCAGTTTAGGAAAAACCCTGGGAAGATGACTCTCCACCAGTGCGCTAAAATGCTAGCAGCAGTAGCAGGCTTCTAATCATTTAATGCCTGAGCCTGTGGTGGCTGCCCAGCTGGCTGGCCCCCTGCCAGGGTGACCAGATGTGCAACCTTGGAGGAGGGCGGGCTCTCCCCCTAGCACCAGGTGGCTGGATGTCATTCTGGTGGAGTGAGTGTTCACAGACCTTTGCAAGCTGCCCCTGTTACTGTGGTGTGCAGAATGCCAGGTCCGTGTAAGCCGCTGCATCCCAGAAACGTGTGGGGTCTCTTTGGATGTCAGAGAAAAGTTGGTGACACGAAGCAGTAGTAATACTCACCGTACAAATACTCTGAAAACTAGATTGCCGCAGAAATTCCTGAACTCACAGGCCTGTTGTCCTTGAACTTGGCGACATTGTCCTTTTGGCCTCCTCTTGATTTACCCCAACAAAACTCATTCAACTTGAGGTTGAGAGTGTAACCCACATTCTTTACATTCTTGGAATTCCTTAACGGACAGTCCACAGTTATCCCAGACTTAGAGCCAGTGGGGGTCTCAGATGAAAGTGGGAAGACACCAGCTTAGACCCGTGCCTCATTTAGTGTGGGGAAGCGTTTAAGACCTGTCGTGTTGGTGGGGTCCCTAGCTCGGCCAAGCTTTGATTGTCCCCCAGCTTCTGCTTCAGTGACTTGGGCGGGCTTGGGAATTAGTGTTAGGAGTTACTCACTCAGGTGGTTGTCCATCGTCTCTGAGGTCACTTACAGGGGGCCACGGACTTCATGTGGATTGTTCAGGGTTGCTGAATCCTTAGGCCTGCTGCGGGCTAGGAAGAGATCCGTTTCAGAAGCAGAGGCCTCTTTGGATTATACTCCTCACCTGCTGGTCTCCACTGACAGAATTAAAATTACTATTCGATGAGAGATTGAGGTTTGCTAGAGTATCAGTTCAGGGCTCTCACATTTGTCCCAAGCCAGAAGGCACTGAACCTAAAGAAAATATATCTATGTGTGTTTTAAACGGAAAAAGCCATTGAACCCCGAAAGTGTTAAAACCCTAGTTTAAAAGAGTTAAAATACCACAGTGAGATATTCCAGGAGAAAAACTAGCCAGTTTACTTTGGAGAAAAGCCTTGAACTGTAGACCAGGGAAGTGTTTAACGTGTGTGTCCTGGATCTTCTCATTGTGTCTGTCTGAGGGTGGAGGCTCTCAGGATGGGTTGGGTTTCTTTGAAGAAAAACTTTCACTTGGACATGAATTCTCAAATCTCGGCAGCCAGGCTGTGAGGCTGACCACAGCCAAGGCATGTATTTTGAGGTGCTGGACCTGCGAGTGCTTTCTGAAGCTTTCTTCTCATGGGCTGAGTCACCCTGTGCGGTCTGTGTCTGCCACGTGTGGACACGGAAGGGCGGCACAGGACCAGAGGCTGCGGGCGAGCCTGACGAGTGCCGGCTGCGTGCCCTGATGCCACCTCTCCAGTGGGGCACCTAGGCAGGAAAAGGCGGAGGTTCCCCTGAGAATAGATCGTTGGCTACAAAGGTCAGGCCAGAGAATAGTCCCAGGAAAACTGCAGCATCACCCTTTGATCCCCACTGGTGGACAAAGGTACCTAAGGGACGTGAACATGAGGACACTGGAATTTCCAGTTATCAGAGAAGGGCATGAAAAGTGATTATGCAGCGTTGTTCAACAGCTGATGAACATTAGGTCAAAAGGAGAATCCCAGTTCCCTGTAATTACACGTCTTCTGCCCTCTGGCTCCACCATGTCCCTAACTGATGAGGGCAGTTGTGTTTCCTTTTTATCCTCCCCCTGTTTTTGTATTCGATTCCCAAAAGGAAAAATAAAAATGATACAGTCTTCAATACGTGGCCTATCTTTTAGGAAATATCTTTGTTACACTGCTCCATTTGGCTCTCTGAAAGTCGCAGGAGTGAGATTCAAAGCAGATTCAGCTCCCATGGCAGGAAATGTAAAATTCAAGAAGAGACAAAAGCAAAGTTCTGAGTTCACATCATTTGATATCCATTTATTGGGTACTTGGTATTTTCTGGCTCAGATTAAGCCAAGAAAAGGGGGTTAGATGGACAGCCATTCTGTGCAGAGCACGTGGGAATGAGAGGAATAGATGGGCCAGCTCCGACCCTTAAGATGCATTGTGAACAATGGCCAAGTAAGTTTGGCTAGCCATTCAGATTGACACAACAGAGAGCCCTCCCGATGCTGCTGCCATCCGTAGTGTTGGACTCCAGGCCTTCACAAGGCTCCCCGCTTCTTTCCCTCACTGAATATTCAGGCTCTTCCACGTGCCAGCTATGAACCAGGGAGCAGACATTGTCAGCCTTGGAGGAGCTCCCAGGTGTGCTGGGGGAGGTCAGACTATCAGCCAGCATGTAACACGGCTGTGGGCTGTGTTCCAGAAAAGGGCACATTCTTTATGCAGCCGCATTCACCAGAGAGAAGGTGTCCAACGATAGCCGTTTGTCACTTGCCGTCTTGACAGGGTTTTTTTTTTTTAAGATTCATTTATTTATTTATTATTGGAAAGACAGATATACAGAGAGGAGGAGAGACAGAGAGGAAGATCTTCTGATTGATGCTTCATTCCCCAAGTGGCTGTAACGGCTGGAGCTGAGCCAATCCAAAGCCAGGAGCCTCTTCAGGTCTCCCACACGGGTGCAGAGTCCCAAGGTTTTGGGCTGTCCTCGACTACTTTCCCAGGCCACAAGCAGGGAGCTGGATGGCAAGCTGAGCTGCCAGGATTAGAACCGGTGCCCATATGAGATCCCGGCGCGTTCAAGGCGTTCTAGCGTTTAGCTGCTAGGTCATCGCGCCGGGCCCTTGACAGGTGTTTCTTAAATTTTTTTCTCTCAAGCGGCCAGGTGTTCTACTACTCCTGGACTAAGAGGAGGATTGATTCTGGAGTGAGTCAGGAAGAACGTTTCATAGGGCGAAACAGTGTTGACCAAGGTGCAGGTTTCAGTTGTTGCCCACATCCAGGATCCTTGTTACCGATGGGCAAAATCGTGCCGAGTCCGAGAATGAGTGTGTCAGGCAGTGACGTGTGTGCTCTGTTAGCCGGTGACACTGTTCCACTTTCCCCAGTTTCTAAGTGAAAATGCTAAAACGTACACTTGGAAGCAAGGACTAACCAAAATTTGATCTCTTTCAGAAGCCAAGAAGAAAGCACCCTGTCCTGGACTTGGCTTGTTTTACACATTATTATCTGCCTTCCTTTTCTCAGTGGGCTCTTTATTTGTTAAAAAAGTGCAAGACGTCCATGCTGTAGAACTTAGTGCATTTCGATGTGTGTTCCAAATGCTAGTTATTATCCCTTGCTTAATATACAGAAAGTAAGTATGTCTTAACTACGAAGTAGAAGATTTCAATAAATGTGTATCAGTCTTTCAACTAAGTTATTTGCCATGCAGTATCTGTGGTATCAGATTTATCAGTTCCCATGTTCTTGTCTCAGAGTAGCAGAAAGTCACAAATATCCAGATCTACCCACAAGAACTCCCCCATTAGCACAGCCACATGCCCAGCAGAGGAGGACAAAGGGATTTAGTCATTCACCACCCCCATTTCACAAACAAAGTTTGCCTTGTATAAATGCTCCTATCTTATCCCACCCTCCTTTCTTTCCTTTGGCATAAATGATATTTGGAAAAGATAACTTGAAAGGGAGTGATAGTGTCTTCTAATGGCTGAACTTTTTTTGTTTCTGTTTTTGGAAAACAACCTCTTACCAGGGTAGACTGAGGTTATAGTCATAAGACGTTGATCTTCTCCAAAAGGCCACAGGGCGTCCTGGACCAAGGCCTTCTTAGCCACTTTTGTATTTGTTGCCCACACCTGTGACATGGAGGGAATGGTGCTCCGTGGACGTGGCCCTGCGAGGTAGTTGCAAGGACCGAGTAAGGGTGAATGTAGGTCTGAGTACTCTGGAATCTGGAAGCATGTTGTATCCTCTCTTCTCTCTCCTCACTCCATCTCTCTTCCCTTTCCCTGGATACTCTCCCCACCTCACCCTCCCCAAGCTGGAACCGGGTCTCCCTCCACATACTTCGAACTCTGGGAAGGAGACCAGTTGGGACCCTGGTGACTAATAGTTTCTTATTTTCTTTCTTTGGCCAAAAATACTTAATCCACAGATTAACAACTTTAGCCACTGTCCCCTAAAGTTCCCTTGTATATCATAGCACAGTAAAGATTTCATTTAGAATCATTTCAGTCTATATCCTGAGGCCTGGGTGGAAAAATAAAAATTTGCTAAGGTCAACACTGGCAGAAATTCTGCATTATGTGTGGCCATGTCACAGTATTTTAGGAAATGATGGTAAAACTTCATGCATTTCCATGTGTGGCAGCAGAGCACAAAATAATCACTTTTGGGTTCGGCGCAATGGCCTAGTGGCTAAAGTCCTCACCTTGAATGTGCTGGGATCCCATATGGGCGCCAGTTCTAATTCCAGAAGCTCCACTTCCCATCCAGCTCCCTGCTTGTGGCCTGGGAAAGCAGTTGAGGATGGGCCAGTGCCTTGGGACCCTGCACCCACGTGGGAGACCTGGAGGAGGCTCCTGGCTCCTGGCTTTGGATTGGTGCAGCACTGGCCGTTGCAGCCACTTGGGGAGTGAATCATCGGAAGGAAAATCTTCCTCTCTGTCTCTCCTCCTCTCTGTATATCTGACTTTGCAATAAAAATAAATAAATCTTAAAAAAAAATAATCACTTCCCCCATTTTAGAATAAAAGCATTGGGAAGGACACCAGGAGAATTTTCTTCTCGATCTCAAGCAAAGGGTGGGGAGTGATTTTCTGAAAACCTCTGGCCCTCATCTGTTTTGTCCCGTTTTGTGTATCCTTATCATGCTTATCAAGTCGGGGCCAAAAGAAAGCCTCATTTTCTAATTCAGGTAGCCAGGGGTGTCCCTGTCCAGCTTACATGATGCCCGCATGGAGGCTGGCTCTGGCACAGATCCAGTCAGAGAGCTGTGCCAAGTGAGGTGCTCATACAGAGTAAGTGCTTGATGAATGCCCAGTTGGAGAGAAGCTGAGTTCTATCCCAGAAGCTGAAGTAACTACCCCATCAGAAGACTACATGTGCTTCCTCATTGTCTTTTCATTCTTTCATGAGAACATAACTGCCATATAGCTAAAGTCAGCTTTAAGAGTTTTTTCATAGAAAAAGTCACCAGATAGGGAGTGCACAATAGCCAAAACCAAGTGTCCTTACACAGCACAGCTAAATATTTAAATTCTCTTCGTTACAAAAATCATGGATCTTGATACAGAAAATCTGAAGCCTATAAGGAAGGGAGGTTATGTATAAGCCCAACTAGTAAAGTATGACCATGATTGACATTCTTTTTGTCTTGCAAGCATATGCAGAGAAATATACATAAGGGAATATCTCATATGTATTGAATTATTACTATTTTGTAGTTCCTTTGAACTGTTTCTGCCTATAGTATGGACACTTTAATGCCATTAATTATAGTAAACACCAAATATAAGAATATATATACCAAATAGAGGAAATATTTATACAAGCTGTATAATACTCGTGGCTATTATAATTTACTATTCCCTTATTGCTTCATAGCTAGTCATTTTAAAACTGTTTTTTTAATTGAAACTTCTAACTGAAAAAATACCAAATTCATTTAATATGCATTTCTTCATTTGAATTTACAGAACTGGGTTTATAGGCCCAAAAGATCAACGCATTTTCCTCGTTCTCAGAGGACTCCTTGGTTCTTCCGCCATGATCCTATTATACTATGCTTACAAGACAACGTCCCTCGCCGATGCCACAGTTATCACGTTTAGCTGCCCAGTGTTCACGGCTTTGTTTGCTTGGATATTTCTCAAGGAAAAATATAGCCTGTGGGATGCTTTTTTCACCTTTTTCACGATCGTTGGAGTGATTCTTATCGTGAGACCACCATTTCTGTTTGGCTCCAACACTTCCGGGACAGAAGGAAACTATACAGTCCGTCTTTTGGGCACGTTAGCAGCGGTTGCAAGTGCTGTGTTCGCTGCCATGACTCTAGTTATCCTCAGGAAAATGGGAAAATCTGTGGACTACTTTCTGAGCATCTGGTATTACGTAATCATTGGCCTCACGGAAAGTGTCATTGTCCTCTTCGTGATAGGAGGGTGGAGTCTGCCCCCCTGTGGGATAGACAGACTTTTTCTCATCCTCATCGGGCTCTTTGGTTTGGGGGGTCAGATATTTCTCACAAAAGCAGTTCAGATAGAAAAGGCAGGGCATGTAGCAATAATGAGGACAATGGATGTGGTATTTGCCTTTATCTTTCAGATCATTTTCTTTAACGATATGCCATCATGGTGGACAGTGGGTGGTGCTTTCTGTGTGGTAGCCAGTAGTATTGGAGCAGCCACTCGGAAATGGATCCAGAATTCCAAATGAAACATCATTGCTGATTTTGTTTTTAAACTGTCACCCATTTCAGACATGACAGCATACACACACACACACACACACACAACTGGAAAATCTGCATTTATTGATTGACTTTTATCCAATAAATTTTGTAAATAAAGTACCATTTTTGAATATGATATGTGTTTAATTAGTGAAGAATAGCTGGTCTCTTTGGCTTAGCAATTCTTTGTAGCTTTTATTTTGGTTCAGGTTTGTCTTGTGGTAAAAGGAAAGCTCATTATTTGAAGAAAAGGTACTAAAGTTTTTATGACTAATAATATGTGACTTTAAAAATATTTTTTGGAATTGGTGTGGTATGGGTGAGAAAGAAATTTTAGGTATTAGCATTATGGAGCCTAAGAAACCTATCGATTATGCTGCTATAATTAGTATTATGTTGGCAGTGCAATTTGCAACATAGTTCCATTTAGGAGACCAAAGCTGAAAATTAGAATAGGTGCCTAACCAACAGTGTAAATAGTGCAAATGAACTGGCCTTATTTTTAAGGATTTTTTTTTATAAATGATCATCCTGTTAACTCATATTTGTGCCTTTTATTTTTAATGCCGGGATATTTATGTATTTTCCTGAAGTCTTTAAATTGCCAAAGTTAGCTAATATTTTTCTGTTTCAGTGGGATTTTGATCACTGAAGCCTTCATTTTGTGGTTGCAATTGTCCTCTGGTTTTTAAAACTGCAGTACGTTTCGCTGGCACTCCCAAGACTTCAGATCTTTGCAGCAAAAGAAAGAGATTGGTGTGGCCAGTGTGCCCATCCCCTCCTCAAGTGTTTCCTCCTCAATAGAGAAGTGGATTTTCTTTGAAGTTGTTGTGTGATGCCAAATGCAATTCTTTCAGGATCCTACTAGGTTGAACGACATGAAATTGCCAAAATTTTGCCATTTCAACTTGCCAAACCTATTGTTTCATAAGGTTCATTCTAATAGATACCTCCCTTTATCAACTAAATAAAATGCTTAGAGAAGTTTGAACTCTTAATTTTTAGCAAACTGAAAAGGTACAATGGTACCATTAAACTATAGTCTTTATTCTTTAGGAAATTGTATGATGCTGTTTTCATCTTATATACCAAATATATAGACTTATGAATCCATGGTTAATCAGTTTTGAGAGTTTATTTCATAGAAAAAATTGTCAAATTTTAGTCTAGCAAGATGATTTTAAATGTCAAGGCTAACCATGAATTCAAGTAATACATTTTGTAGCTGGAACTTCATCAGGGTAATAAAGAATTTAATATCTAGAAAAGCTTGGGAGGTTAATGAGGATGCAGTGATTACAGGAAAATGATTCCTTGTCACAGGAAACTTTTGTTGTTGAGGGTTTTAGGGACCCTAGCTCTTGCCATGTCAAATATAACAGTTACTATTATCTTAAGCCTGAAGAGTCAGATTATAATGTCCCCTCCGCTTGCCACAGTTCCTCCAAAGCAAGGGGGAGCTTGTTTTTAGGGATTTAGGCTTTGGTAAGAAAGGATCTTTTCCCACAGTCCCATGGGGAGAAATTTTGGCCTGTTGGTTTTATCTAATACCACCTGGCAAATCCTAAATGAAGTCCTTTTGGGTGAGTCATCTTATAGATAATTGCAGAATCTGCATGTTGGAACTCAGAGATATCCTAGAAGTCCTCTTGGGGAAGCCACCCTCCACAGATTGGAATTGTAGACACGCCCAAATTGGGTTTTCATGATAAAGCAGGGAATTAAACCACTTCTTGCGTTGCCTTTGTTGAGTGAACTCTCAGGGATCCCTCTCCCAGTTCTTTAGCTTGCTTTAATATAAGAAACACACATGTGATTTGGAAAGTTAAGATCCCTTTGGATCTATATGCTAGAGACATGTTTTATTTCAACAGTATGACCCGAGTACTTGAATGTCACATTGTATGACTCAAGATGGAGAAAATGTTTCTCCCAACTTTTGCAGGGTGTGAATCTTGAACACTTGCAGTGTCCAGGGTGTGCACAAGGATGTATTGTTAACAATTATGAGTGTTGTTTGTTTTGTAAAGATTATATTTTCTATATCTTGAAAAAACTTGATAAATTGTTTTTATTTTGTAAGTATGAATAAAATAATATAAAAATTAGTATGTTGGTCTTTCTGATTATGGAAAGTCTAAACCAGTATAAGTTACTTCCATTTGCAATGACCATTTCTCTTTTCATGTGTTAGAAATTAATTTCTGTAGATGACTCCTGGCCATTCAGCTGGGTTATCATCTCGAGTCACATTACATCTGTCCCTGTTGTGCTGTCAACGTCAAATCCAACACCTCCAAGATTGAAACAGTGACCTTCTGTTCCAGTAAAGTCATCATTCTAACAGAGCCTCAGAGCTTGGAGTGGCTTTGAACTAGTCTTATTCTCACAACTGACCTGTTACTATGTCCCAGTGTCATCTCGTGGATTCATTCTTTGCTCACCATTTTCTACCATCCTAGTCCAATATACATCACCTCACACCAGAGATTTTCAACTGTGGTCCTTGTCTCCATGTTAGATTAATCTTCCCCACTCTGCTGTTGTTATTACTCTGACTCTCACGAAGCCACAGAGGTGCTAATTGCCTACCACCATTTGCTAATTCTTCACTTGAACTTACTCCCACTTCTCCAACCCGAGTTTCCACAGCCAAACACAAGTTTGATTAACAGATCAGTCTTTCTACTAACCACATATTTATCAGTGGTGGCCTTCCTTTGTGTCTCCCCTATTTTTCTTCTCTTACCCTCTGAAGCCAGTTAGCTTCCTATGACTTAGCAAGAGCTTTTGTTTCTTTCAGTATCTCTTGCTTCTCATCCACATAACCCACGTTTGAAGAGAGGATGAAGCACTGATTTAGGAGTCTAACATCTGAAGAGCTGAGAATGGTTTTATCATGTCTGGCTGGGCAATCACTCCATGTACCTTTATCTCTTTTCCTCATTTCCCAAATACACTTGCTGTTTTCCCAATCCATCTTACCAGTGAGTTCTGTAGGAGGATCTGAGGCCCGCAGTGAAAGATTAAAAACATGAAAGTATTGAACTGTGGTTAATATCTTGGAGTAGAGTACTGAGTCTTCACAATGAAGACCTTAACAGATCCTGGGGCTGACTTGCTGGTGGCCATAGAACATGTCTTTCAGAGTGCAGCCTCATTCAGCCCCTAGCACCAAGCTCTACAGCTTTGATTTCCTGCTGTTGAGTGAGGGAGACTGCCAAGAGGCACCACGCCTTTTGTAAGTCTTTCCAGCTGGTGTTAGTGTTGGTCCACTGTTGAGTATTGCACTTGGTTGTGAGAGGGAAAACAGGCCTAAGTTCTGTGTATTTTTGGAATAATCTAGTGGGAGGAAAGCCACATGTTCTTGCCTGTGGCCTCTGGTAGAAGTGTGTATAGATCCATGGTTAGTTGGCATTAGGAGCTGATTGTTAGATATAGGTTAAACAAGTTAGGGTTGACCACCATCCCAAGCATACTCTTCTGTGGTCCCCGTATTGTACAAATCTAATATAGCAATCATATGTACCTATTCAGCAGGATCGTGTCAGGGATTCTCTGTGATTCACAAAGACTCATTCATGTTTTAGTGTATTTGAACACTAAGTTTGAAACTGGACTTGGACAGTCAACTCAAAGGATAGGCCGTGCACCTGGTGCATGTCCATCACTTCCTGGAAATTGGAGAGGCGGGAGATGGTTTTAAAGCAGGAAGGGAGCAGACGTATCTGGTATCAAGGCAGTGCAAGGAGCACTACCACAGAAGCCTGGTACACAGGAAAAGGTTCCTCTTGGTTCTGCAAGTGTCGCTCCTAAGGGAAAGAATCCAGGTCTTTCCAGCTAAATGTTCATGACTCTGGAAACTACCCAAAGATGAATACCAGCATGCAAGTGAGGTGTCCCAGACTGATGAGGAATTGCCAGGCTGAGGTCAGAAGAGCATAGGTCTACATTTGCACAAAGGTGGGCTTATGCAGGATAAAGTGTATTTAGGTAAGCGGTGTAGTTTCAAGACCACACTAAGGGCGGGAATCCTGTGGCATCCAGTCCGCTGAGGTGGCTTGAGTAGTCATTCTGGAGGGAGGCACATATCTGAGAATGTGAATATTTGGCCATACTTCAGGTATCCAATACCCTTGAACATGATTTTGATAGCAAGCTGTATGTGCCAAAAGCATATCAGAGAGATGGAAGCTAATCTGTAACAACATTGGAGGTTTTCTTTTTCTGTTTTTAAAGATTTATTTGAAAGGCAAAGAAAGAGGAAGTGATGGAGATCTTTCATCTGCTCATTTGGCTGTGGCCAGGCCATGCTGTAGCCAGGATGCAGGAGCTTCATGCAGGTCTCACACGTAGATGCAGAGGCCCAAACACTTGGGCTATTATCTGCTGCTTTCCCAAATGTGTTAACAAAGAGCTGGATAGAATGTGGAGCAGCCCAGACTCAAACTGCTGCCCATGTGGGATGCCAGCGTTGCAGACTGCCACTTATTGTGCCACCATGTTAACCCTGTGGAGATTTTACATATTTTCATGTTAAAATGAGAATTGAATTCCAAGCCTGATTCCAAATGAACTGATCTTTTTCTCTCTTGTGTTGTGTCCCTTTGGAACCTCACCATATTGCTGCGAGGAAGGCTGAAGAGGCCACGTGGAAAGGCCAACACGGAGAGGACCATGTCCCCAGCCTCAGCGCATGGATGCTTCTGCTGACAGACGTGTGAATGTGGGGAGAGAGCCCCGCAGTGCCCAGGTGAGCCCCCCCAACTGATGCTCTGCATGTCAGAGACAAGACTTTCCCAGGTTTTTAAATAATAAGGTAATTGTTATTGTTTTAAGCCACTAGAAATATATATATAGATATATATATAAAAGTAAGTTACAACTGTCTTGAAGGCATATATATCAAATTACAGGTGATCAGAATTACATAAAGCAAAACATGCCAAAACAAAAAAAGATCAGCAAATAGAACATTTTCCGAGGCTTTTCTCAGTCTATGACAGGTAAAACTGACCAAAAATGAAGTACATAGGGGATAAGTATAATAAAATAGGGTTTTGATCTACTGACACCGAGCAGGCTTGGGAACCTCTGAGAGTCTTCAAGATGCTTTTGGGAACTTGCAACATCAAAACTATATTGATGCTAGTACTGAGAACGTCATGAGCCCATTTACTCTCATTCATGCATGAGTGTTTAGATGTTGGAGTTTGCAGAGCTACAAGACCTGTGTTGCTGCAAGCAGTTGACTGTAGCAACAGATAGAGGAATCCAGTCATCCGTGAAGCCAGATGGGCAACAATATAAAATGATGCTACTCTTCTAATTTTTTTTGAGAATAGTTATACTTCATAAAAATGTTATTTATCTGAACATAGAATTATTTGTTAATGTTTTTAAATTAGGCTTCCAATAATATCCATATAGCACACATAAGACAGAAGTTCTTCAGACTCTTCAGTAGTGTTGAGAAACTCAACATTCGTGAAGGGATTCCAGACCAAAAAGTTTAAGAACCACAGATTTTTTTTTAATTTGTTTGTTTGTGAAGCAAAGAGAAAGCTCTCACCCATTCCCTGAATGTGTACAGTGGCCAGTGGGCGGAAGCTGAGAACAGTGAATTCAGTCCAGGTCTGCCATGTGGGTGGCAGTGACCCAGGGGCACGCACATTAGCAGGCAGCTGGAATCACAGCCAGGGCCAGGAATACAACCCAGACTGCCTGTATGGGACACATGCATTGCAGCTGCTAGGTTAAATGCCTGCCCTGAGAAGCACAGATTTCACAGATGTATTTGTTGAGCTTGAGACAAATAAATAAACAAATAAATAATATTAAACCTTTCCCCAAATTTGCGAAGTTCTTCAGGATGTACTAATAACCCAAAGTGAAGCTAACTATCCATCTGTCAATTAATGTGTTTGATGTGGTGTTCCATTTTAGAATTGGGAAGTCAACAAACTAAATCTGTACAAGAATTCCAAGTTATCTGGCTCTAAGAGCAAAGAAGTGATCCAGTTGCATCGTGACTACAACATCATAGGAAGTTGTTTGTCTCACTTCTACTTAGGTGCTTTGGTTTTATTTGTATGTGTACTTCCAAAATGACCGTCAGGGTCAGAGCTGGGCCAGACCAGGTCAAGAGCCTGGAACTCCATTGAGTCTCCCATGTCGGGGCAGGGTCACAAGTACTAGGGCTATCCTTTTCTCATTTCTCTAGGCACATTAGCAGGGAACTGCATTGGCATTGGAGCAGCTAGGACTCAAACCAGAACTCATGTAGGATGCTGGCGTCACAGGTGCCAACTTAACCCACTGCACAATGCTGGCCACACACTATGAATTGTTGTGACCTTTTTGCGGGCACCATCACCCATCCCATACATTCATGCATAGAGAGATTTTCATTGCTTTAATTTTGACTGTCACCCTGGCTCACCTAGCTAACCTACTTTCACTGCCTCCTCTTTCGCCTATTTAACTCTATAGGTAAGACATAAATTCCCATTAGGCTCCATGATGGAAGGAAATATAAAGGAAAAGTTGAATTTCAGCATTTAAAAACAATATTTGAGACAGAGAAAGGAAGAGACAGCTCTCATCTGTTGATTTACTTCCAAAATACCTGTGACAGCAAGGGCTGGGCCAGGATCAAAGCTGGGAGCTGAAAACTCAAGTTCTCCCATATAGGTGGCAGGAAGTCCACTACCTGAACCGTCACTCTGTCTTCTCAGAGTCTGCACTGTCAGGAAGCTAGGCGCAGGAGCCTGAGTGGGAGACGAGCCCAGTCCTCTGAGGTTGGGCTTACGCATCTTACCTAGAAGATGAATTGCCTGCTTTGATGTTAGCATTGAAATACAAACAACATATACCTTTCTACAGTTTCTTTGTTTTACTCAGGCCTCACTGACTCGGAGGAAGGCCAGCCGAGAAACTGAAATTCAAAGAGGTGGACTGGAAATGCCTTGCTGGCAAACTCCAGTCTCCAGCTTGTACTATTACAGGTTTACCTACTAGGTTTCCCTGACCTCAAAAACCTTGCCCTTCCCAGGACCCCATGGGCTAGAATGCAACACAGTTACTTTGATGTTTGTTGCTGTAG